CATATTATGAATCACATACTTAGTAGCATAATGTTAGAGAATTTGGTATGAGTACCAGATGTACCACATGTGAACACACTTATTATAGAGATTGAGAATAATATATGAATTCCCTATTGATGCATTAACATCATCTACTACACAGATTCTTGCATCGGTACATTGATGTAGTAGGAGGATTATCATCCAATTCGACATAATCATGTTTTTAGGTGAGACCATTATGGACATCCCTGTTAAACATGAGTTGGACCCAGTAAGCTACACGGAAGCGTGAACCGATGTGGATACAGATCGTTTTGGTGAGTTACTATGAAATCAGAGTTGGAATCGATGTATTCTAATAAATTCTGGGATCTTGTAGAACTTTCTAGTAGGGTGATTCCTATGGAAGGCAAGTTAATCTACACAAAGATACCAGAAGATTTCTTAGTGAATAAATCATGAGTGTACAAGGGAATGTCATTATTTTTCTAATTCTATATATATTGATGACATCCTACTCATTTAGAATGATGTGGAAGTTGTGTCATCAATAAAAAGATAGTTGTTTAATTACTTTTAAATGAAGGATTTTCAAGATGTAAGTTATATTCCTAGGATCAAGCTTTTGCAAGATCAGGTTAAAAGGAAAATAGGCTTATCTTAATAATCCTACATTGATAAAGTTTTGACCAGGTTTGGTATGCATAACTCAAAGAATGAGTTCTTGCTTTATTGATATAGATGGCTCTCTCTAGTAAGTAGTTTTTCAAGACTATCAAAGGAGATTGAGCAAATGAGACTGGAACAATATGTTTCGGCATATGAGAGTCTCATATATGCCATGGTCTATACCAAACAGGACATCCGCTACATAGTAGGGATAGTCAGTAGAGATCAGTTCAATACTGGACTTGACAACTGGTCTATTATGAAAAATATCATTAAGTACCTAAGGAGAACCAATGATATCATATTCATTTATGGATGTGATGATATGGTCCTAGTCAGGTATGCTAGTTCTGATTTTCAATCAGAAGTAGATACTATGAGGTTCATGACTCAGTGTATGTTCACTTAATGGAAGGGAGATCAGTTGGTAGATTGTTAAGCAGATTTCAACTGCTGACTCAAACCTGTAGGTGAAATATATTGCAGCCTTAAAGGCGGCAAATGAAGCCTATTAGTTTGATCTCACTGATTTAGAGGTTGTGGAGTATACTAGCCTGCCTATTGAGCTATGTTGTGACAATAGTGCAGAAGTAGTCCAAACCAATGACCCAAGATTCCATAGAGGAACAAGATACACTGAAAGGAAGTATCATGTTCTACATGATATTGTCCAGTAAGAAAATACACTTGTAGTTAGAATATTGCATTGGAACACAACTTTGTTGATCCATTATCAAAGGTGTCATTGATCAATAATTTTGATCATCATCTGGATAACATTGGAGTTAGGTGCAATTTGAATTGGCTATGAGGGCAAGTGGGAGCTGTTGGGATTTATATGCCCTGGCATAGCAAATTCCTATCTGGATTATAGTGACATATGTTCCTGACATATCTGAAATATTTATGATTTATATAATTGGTGAATTCAATGTATTATGTTTCGATTCACTATGAAATTGATAGTGTCCATGTAATTACAAGAAATATTTATATATATGTATGTGATGACAATCAATGCATGATATATAAATAGTAATTATAAATTGTTCATAGTCGGTAATTATGGATGGACTCATAATTAATTAAGACTTGAACTGGATTCGCGTTAGGTTGAGATATATTGCGAGAGCCGTCGTATGCAATTACTCCCTATCACCGTCATGGCATTTGACTCTTAAGCATGAGAAAAGTATAGACTCTTTTATTAATTAATAATTACTTTGATTTGTTCGGCGGATTCTTCGGGATCCTTAGACCGACACTTTGGGTAGTTATGTAATTAATAGTTAGAGGGTTATATTTTCAATATTTGCATCATTGCTACTTGTATTTATTTTGTATTGATTATGGTTGATCACAAAGTAAATTCGAAGGCCTTCGTGTGTTTTTAGACAAAATGATTTATTATATATTTATTTATTTAAATTATTATTTTTGTCAAACAAATGTTTTATTGTGATCGAGTCAGAAATAATCAAAGGTACCAAAATAAATATATTAATTAAGTAGTCGGATTGATGGCTATATTTATCCGATAACTAATTATGCATAGAGGGGTCAAAGTGCAATATTGACTTAGAGGTTATTTATTATTTAATTGGAGTTCAATTAATTTCTTTTAGTGGAGTAGAAATTAATTTATGAATTAATTTAATTGGGTCCATGGACCGGGCCAATTATTAATTCATTGTAGCCAATAAAATAATAGGCCCAATGGATTCTCACTCATAGCCCAACTTGATATTGGAATCATATTAGATTTGAGACATATGAATTAGAGATGGAGAATGATTTGTTGTTTCCTTTTCTTTATTTTTATGTTGCCTATAAATATACATGGTCTATGTATATTTTAGGGGGTGAATTTTATGAGAAGGAAAAAGGAATATATTTTCTCTCTCTAGAAAATTAGGGTTTATGTTCTCATCTAATGGAGGCTCCCACAAGCCTAGTTTTCCAAGGTCATTGATGGAGGCTTATGAGTGATTCCTAAAGGCAAAACAATTACCAAGAAGATGGAGATCCATAGAAAAGGTGTCTAGCAAAAGGGATCTACAATAAGTGAGAACATTCACTTTAGAGGAGAGATCTAAGGTTTACTTAAACCTTGATGTAAGTATTCTATCTTTTAATTGAATGATACATCATGTTTTTATTTTTGCATAAAACTTGTCTTTATGTGATGAATCAAGATCTATGAATCAAAATCACTCGAAAAGTTTTTAAAACTTGCACGTTTTCCAACAACTAACTTCTCAAATTTTCATTTATATTTCATAATGGACGGTTTTGTATCATGTTCACGAATGAGGTGATCTTAATTAATAGTTCCAATCCATATGGTAACCACTAAAATTCATGTACACTCGTTTGAATGACTGTTTTAGAATATGTAGAACCAAAACTTTCCATTTATGACTTGCAATTATGTGGCATCACAAACAATATTCGGGAAACTGGTTACAATTTGCAATTTTGTAACGGTACATAGTTTCTTCCTTGTTTGACGTAAAAAATAATAAATAAATAAATAAATAAATAAATAAATAAAACATAATCATATTATAACCATAATTAACTAATCCAAAAACCATTTGATGTAACAACAGCAGAAGGTGAAGTCTGAACCGCGGAAACTTCATGCTCTTAATTTTTGGTACTTAACCGATGAAATTATTATTAGTAACTAATCCAACAACCATTTGATGTGACAAACGTAGCAAGTTCAAGTGGTCTAGAATACTTGGCCTCTCGCGTCATGTCGTTGGCTCCATCTCAAATAATATACAATAGAGACGGCGGTTTGGATTCAGTTTCTTATTTAGATAAACTATGCTTATCTCTTCTCTAATTAGTGTTTATTACAATTAATTTTTTTATATATTTTTAATTATTACAATTATTTCCTACCTAGTTACGTGTGTAACAAATTATTACAATTAATTACAATTTTAAAGCACCTATTCAATATTTTTAAACGCAACATTAATTTTTTTAGAGAATGAGTAAATATATTGTGACGGTTTCAATTTTGCTATACAAACTATATGATGCATTCACTCATTTCAACATAAATTTGGTTTTAGGAAGTAATTAGAAAATTATAATACTTTGAGAAAAAATATTGGATCGAGAAGAAAAAGTGGGGAAAGGTAAAAAGTCTAAGTGCATATGGCACGAAGAAAAAAATAAAAAACACACACACACACACAATTTTGGTTAGACTTGGTTTGAATTTTAGTGCAGATTCAAATCGGTTTAATGAGAGTGACATTGAAAGTCACTTGATTGTTAAAAAAAAATAAAATATATGATTTGCATCACTGGTAATTACTTTATTTTAATTTTAACTGCAGATCATAAGACTGTAATTGCAATAATTTGAGTAAATTTAAGGAGATTTTTTTCAAATTGATAAAGTTATTTTTGACCCAACAATTTTGTAACTTAAATACTTAATCAGTCATATTGATATGGGTAAAATAAGTATGTAGGATATTTTTGAGGGAAAAAAAAAAAATTTATTGTAGTGAGGGGGAGATCTTGTCAAGTCTTAAGAAATTTGTCACATCTCAACATATGCCAAATTACATGTGTGTCTTGAGTTTTTTGGGTTTCTTTCGAATTATCCCAAATTGTAATTTTTTACTAATAAGTAAAAGTTTTTTAAAAAAATGTTGAAGCATAACTATGTACACTTCACATAAAAATAAGAGAGTTATTAGAATTTGAAAACTTATGAGACCAAATCTTATATATATATATATATATATTGTATGATTGTGTTTGTCCGTTCTGTAAGACTGTAAATATATATATATATACCTATATAGACGAGGGGAAGAAACAGAAAATAGACCCAACTAGATTGTTGGAGGAGTTGTATAAAAGTAATTTAATAATATATCAATTCTTTCTTAATTTCTTCATTAAATAAATAGTTTAACTTTAAAGTCAAAAATATAAATTCATTCTAATTCATGTTATATGGCACCGCACGTGATTAAAACCTCAGTTGTCTGTAATTTGTCCAAAAACAATTTATTACGCATCCAGCTTACAATGTGACGCGCGAGTCCCGCAGATGTCCAATCTAATGCGTCATCAGCAAAAGGACGAGAAACAACTTGATTCCTCCCTATTAAAAACTCTCTTTCTTCTACCAATCTCTTCTAATATTATTATACATTTATTGAATAGATAATAATGATTTAAAAACCGTAACTATCAAATTTAATTTTTATGAATATTGTGGTGACGTATCATATGATTTCATTTTCATGTGACGAGAATCATGGAGTTGTTTATTACACATGTTTGTTTTTACTTTTCGTCTCGACATCCTATCGGTTGACTCCAATTTTTTAAGTCCACTCAGTACTTATGGGAAGATTCTATAAAATCTAACGTTAAAAAGAAAGAAGCTAGCTCAACTCAACCTTCTTTCTTCTTCAAACAGGTCAGTGCTTGAGTTCTTCAATCGCGAGGTTAGTTTGTCTCGTCTCTCCATTTCGTTTTTCAATCTTTGGCATAAAATCTAAGCGACTATTATTCGACTTTCCATATATTAATTATTACTGCTGGATCATTCAAATTTTTGTGTTGCGAATTGTTTCTTTTCTTGAATCTCTAGTTCATTTTGTGGAATTCAGGTCCTTAATTTTCAATTTTTTTTTTTTGCTGAATTATATTTTTCTTCTAAAATTTTAAGGATGGAAGAATATATCATTGAACTACATGCCCGTTGGTATTTATTGAAATATTGATTGCAATGAATTTTATCTTCTAAATTTTTACCTTGAATGGTGGATAATTTATGATTCTTTATTTTTCAATTAATTGATATATAGTTTCTAAAAAGAGTTGGACACTTAAAAAATTAACAATAACTCATCTAATGCCATCAGGCTATGTTTGGAGCGAAGAAAAGGATGGTACAATTTTTTTTGATTGATTGGTTGAAAGAAAAAGAATGGTAGAATAGGTGAGACATTAATACAGATTTATCATTGGACTATTATGAATGTCCATGGTGGACTATTATGAATGATGTGGCAGATTATTTGCTTATTATATCAAGGACAAAATTGAAACTTCGCATTTTAAGTGTATGTGCATCGTGTTAAATAAAAGAAAGGATATATTAATAAAATCACTTCTTTCTTCTTCTGTTTTTGTCAAAAGAAACAAACTGCGCCCTTTTAATTTTGCATAGGGTGTTAGAGCAATTTTTGACCACGTTTAATCTGTAACATGAGAAAATACTTTTTATTTGTCAAAAGGTACCATTTTTAGATATATAAATATCACTTTTTATGTATTCAAATACTACTTCTTGTGTTGCACAAAAAAATAATGATACATGCGTTCACAAAAAAGTGATACCTCTATACTCAAAATAAAAGTGGTATCAGCGTGCACAAAAAGTGATAACTTTTGGCAAATGAACCGTGGGATTTTATGTCCACGTCAGTTTTTTGTCAATTTTATTTTTTTGAAGTTATGAGACTTTGACTCCGTAAAATGATAAATATGGGTCATTAACATCATTTATATGTAATAATTCCTTATATTTAACTACTATTCACAAGACTGATATATGAAACAAATAGGTGATCAAACAGAACAAGGAGTGATGGATCATTGCATCAATATTGAGAAAAATGGTGTTCCAGATTCGAGCGGAAATAATCTTCCAAAAGGTACCATTTTAAGACATATATGTATCACTTTTTGTACACTCAGATATTACTTTTTGTCATCAAATATCACTTTTTGTGCTGCACAAAAAAATAATATTAATACATGCGTGCACAAAAAAGTAGTACCTCTGTGCCCAAAACAAAAATGGTACCAGCGTGCACAAAAATTGGTAGCTTTTAGCAAATGAGCAATGTTTTTTTATGTTGACATCAATATTTTGGTCAATTTTATTTTTTCGAAGTTATGAGATTTTGACTCTATAAAATGATATATATTAGTCATTAACACAATTTATAACTAATAATTCCTTATATTTAACTGTTATTCACAAGACTGATATATGAAATAAATAGGTGATCAAACAGAACAAGGAGTGATGGATCATTGCATCAATATTGAGAAAAATGGTGTTCCAGATTCGAGCGGAAATAATCTTCCAAAATCTTCCGGTGTTTCAAGAGATATTCTCATTCAAGAAATACAATGCTTGAACAAAAAGATTCATGGTTTGCCACCTCTATTCCCTGAGCCTTGTATATTCAAAGTGCACGAGGAACTACGCAGCGTGAATAAAAAAGCCTACACACCCATACTGGTATCGATAGGTCCTTACCACCATGGTAACCCCAAACTAAGAGAGATGGAAGAACATAAGTTGCGTTATTTGTATTCCCTTATTCGACGCTTCAATATTTATAATAATGACACAATAATTAGTGTGAAGCCTTACCTCCTTCTCATGGAGGACTTGGCGAATAGAGCTCAATCCTGTTACGCAAACCCTATATATCTCAAGAGAAACAAATTTGTGCAAATGATGCTCCTTGATGCTTGCTTTGTTATAGAGTTTCTTCGGAAATCTTGTTATGAGGAGCTAAGAGATAAGGATGATCCTATTTTCAAATCCTCTTGGATGGAAGTGCAAATCTACCGCGACCTCATGTTGGTGGAGAACCAGCTTCCCTTCTTCGTTCTCTCTGAACTGTTAAACAAAACCCATATCCCAGATTCCAAATATGTGCCCCTTCCCACTATGGCAGTACTGACGCCTATCTGTGCTTTGCTACCCAAATCCCACAGCGAACACAAAATGGCTCAACTAATAAATGAAAATGAAACTGTCGATGAAAGCAAGCATTTTCTTGATTTGGTGCATAGATTTTATCATCCCTCACTCATAGAAGCTTCAAGTGGTCGTGAAATTTGTAGTCAAATGTCTTGCGTGACTGAGCTTAAAGAGGCTGGCATTAGCTTCAAAGTTGATGACAGTCCTGATAGTAGTATCTTTGATATAAAATTTGAGGACGGTCACATGAAAATCCCTAATTTTAGGGTGAGTGATGAAACCGAGTCATTCTTACGTAACATTATTGCCTACGAACAGCATTCTTCTTCTGTCAAACGCAGATATTTCACAGACTACATTTGGTTCATGGATATGCTTATCAACTCGGAAAAAGATGTGAATGTACTTCGTCAAAGCGGAATTATGGACAACATGATGGGTGATGATAAGGGGGTGGCTTGTATGTTTAACAAGCTGGGTGATGGAGTAATGATGGGATCATCTTTCCATTACTCAGATGTGTGCAAAAAGGTGAACGACCATTGTGGACAATGGTGGAATAATGCCAAAGCAAATTTGAGGCATACCTATTTCAACAATCCATGGGCAAGTATTTCAACAGCTGCAGCTGGTGTGCTCCTTTTGCTCACTCTAACACAGACTGCAGTGGCCCTCATTGATCTGCTGGCTTAGTTCAAGCAGGTGATATGTTGTGTTATTTCCATTAAACTTTGGCGTGGTTAATTTGGCTTAGACTACTTAATTGGATGGGAAGATTTATTAATATTTCTGTACAAATAAGTATATGCTTTGTTTGCTCTCCTCCGCTCTGGGCTCTGTTGCCGCTTCTACTGTACGTGTAGTTTTGTTGCAACAGTTTCTTAGGTGTTTTTGTTGTTTCTTGCCTTTGGTTGTTGTTTGGCTTCTGCCTGTTGTACTGTTCCATTTTGGTTGAATAAAATTTATTTACAAAAAAAAAAAAAAAAAAAAGTACATATATGCATAGGCAATTTATTCTAGAAGAATCTGCACTTTCTTTCCTTCCTTCCAAGTATGCACAAGTAGAAGTTCAAAAATAAAAATTCTATCACATTGCCACATTATCATCTCTATATAATTTTATTGCGCGCGTACTTACTACATCATTATTAAAATCAATTGGATTTGAATCAAAACGCACTCATTCCAACGCAGTGTCAAAGAAGGCTCAATATATTTTGAAGTTTTATGGAAATAATAATAATAATAATAATAATAATAATAAATAAACTTTTTAATAGAATCTATCCATATATTGTTAGTAACATGCTCACTAGTTGTTTCCTAAATTTTAAACTTAGCATTAAGATTTTTTGAATCTCTAATTCCCTAATTGGCTTATGCAATAATTTCAACTAAACAACTTGCAACAAAAATAAGATATTCTATCGAAATCTTTTGAATACACAAAAGACAACATAATATGTAATAAAAAAAAGCCTAGAGTTTTCATTGTTTAGAAAAATTAAAATCACTAAATCAAATTGGACCATCTTTCACTAATAAAATTTCTACTTTTTAATATTACGGCTGGTGTAGCAACAAGAAAGAGAGAAGAAAAAAAAAAAAAAAAAAAAAAAAGAAAAAGAAAAAAGAAGAAGGGGTGAGACAAGGATAGAAATATTTTGGGGCTCACCATTAAATCTCTCTATTGATTGAGGACTAATAATAGAAGGAAATAAAATTTTTAGAGAGATTTTAATATAAAAAAAAGGAGAAAGGATCGAATCTATTAAGGATATTAAATCTCTTTATGGTTTTTTTTTTTTTTTTTTTTTTTTGTAAGTTAAATTGCAAATGAATAAAGGGGAACAAAGTACAGCCCATAAGGAGTTAGCCCAATGCTAACTACTGTAAACATGGAGGCCCAATGGGAGCAGAAATTGAAACATTAAAAGCCCATGCAAAATCCCAACAAACAGATGTGTATGACCGTAATAAATCAACAATTGCAGTTCCGTATTCATGGAGTAAATCTCCATCAAATGCTATGTCTTAGCTCCTTGAATCTGGCGGTTTCTCTGGTAGACGGATCACTGATTCAGGAATTTTTCATTCCATCACAATTCTTCTAGCATTGAAGGAGTCTGAGATTGAAGAAGACAGCAGTTTGGTTTTGATTGTTTCCAAAGTGAGGTGAAGCACTGAGTTGGCATTGAGAGATTTCTTTTTGAAGATCCTTCTATTCCGCTCATTCCAAATGCGATAGACTAAGGATGTCAATCCCAATTTGGATATTGTATTGCTGTGGAATTCAGAGTTGCCTCTCCAATGATGGGATGCCCAAACAATAAGCCCTATCTAAGAAGAAGGTTGGATATGATACCCACAACGTGCCTGTAAAAAGAGCCACAAGGGTTTGACAAAAGAGCATGTGTAGGCCCCCGGCGGGCTAGCAGTGATGGTGGGGGCTTGGGTCTGGCACACACAAGGCCAGTGTTCGAGTCCTCTATCAAGTCTTCTAGTTTCGTCGACTCACTCGGTGTATGATAGGGGCTGCCTTACACCCCAGGTTTGTAGCCCACGGTGGGTCCCTAAGGGGCCCTGCGTGGGGGAGTTCCTGGTGCCAACTAAAACAAAAAAGAGCATGTATAGAATATGTTGTACACCTCCTATTTAGGGTTTAAAGTTTGTGCTGGATGGCAACCCAGAGGGTAAAGGAGTGCTTTGGTATGGATGGTTTAGACCAAACAAGATGGGACCACGATAGGGTAGTAAGATGCTGGTTGTAATGTTAGATCAGTAGAGGCACGGCAGGGTGTGTGAATTAATTGCTTTTACTTTCATTGGAAAAAAAATATATAATGTAATCAAGCTTGTTGAGGAATATAGCTAGCCAAGGACACAATTTTGGACCACTGAACAATCCTCTATTCAGGCCTGAACTCCTTCCACAACAAAATTAAGTGAAAACCCATTTAATTTAAAGCCTATGTGGCTCAATGCTCCATTTTGGGGCCGTGACTTTTTATCGATCTCTTTATTATACATTGGCTATTTCCAATTGATTATTAAATGACTTGGTCTTCGTTTGGATGTTTTGGTTCATTTGACTCTTGTTTTGGTGGAGATATGTGTCATCCAAGTTGGCCATATTTCCAGCTTCCACCGGTTCCCTTTGCAGTTTACACTACTTGTGTCTCAGGCAATATTTTGTTTTCTCTTTGGTCACTACTCATCCTTCGCGCACAATGTATATATATAGCTATTTTTAACACACAATCTTGTTCATATCTTTACAGGATTACTGACAAAGGAAAAGAGTTCTAATTTTTGGTTGTGTTGTTTTGGATAATTAGTATCTGAAAAAATAATAATTTTTATAGTTCATATTTTCAATAACTTGTATCCGGAGATCTAGAAAGGAAAAGAAAAATGACATGGGATGATGTGAGTTGTGCAGCGCAAAAACTTTATATTAATTCAGTTGGAAATAACATTTTAATGGCCTAAAGAAAGTGAATAAGTCAATTTGCTTGATTTTTGTGATTGATTAATTACCTTCAATTAGTACTAATTTTTCTAGAATAGTAATTCTAGTTCATTTAATTTCCCAACAATTCCTTTTAAATTTAATTTGCAGTTAGTTTCTTTAAAAGTCCTTTTTGCTACAACAAATAGAATCCATTAAGAAATTTAATGTTCTCTTTTCTTCCAGTCGTTCAATCAATTTCTCAAAAGAGACTAAACTTAATCACTTTTGCACAATTTCAAATCAAGTTGTGACACTCCGGCATTAATCAATTTCTAATCGGCTAATGCCGCCGATTTTGTGAGTCAATATCAGAAAGAAAAATTTGTCATACATATATCTTGACTGACATGCTGCTCCACTTCAGTCAAGATAATAACAATTTATTAATTCTTTATTCATCTTTTGGAAGAAAAATTTGTCATATATATATCTTGACTAACATGCTGCTCCACTTCAGTCAAGGTAATAACAATTTATTAATTCTTTATTCATCTTTTGGAAGAAAAATTTGTCATATATATATCTTGACTAACATGCTGCTCCACTTCAGTCAAGATAATAACAATTTATTAATTCTTTATTCATCTTTTGGAAGAAAAATGCTCGAAACAAAATATATTTTCGATGAAAAACTGGTGTTTGATCCCACCGTAATTCTGGCCCTATACAAAAATATTTGGTTCTAACATAATAGAATAACGGAGATTATTTACATCTTTGCATTATTAGGGTGATATGTATGCATAAACATATATACATGAACATTTTTCAGAATTAGAGAGTTGTATTAAGATATAGTGAATGGTCGGGATCATTGATTTCGAGACGGTGTATAACTTTTCCATGTGACGTGGGTAGGATATGAGAAGAGTACGTTCACTCAACAAAGGATTAAAAAATCACATAATATTTTGGGTGACACTATTCTTAAATAAATATATTTGATAATGTATTAAAACTAAAAAAATAATAAAATTTTAAATGATAGAGACATTATTTTGAATTCAATCACAAAGAGGAGAATGACTCATATTAGATTTAGAAGAAATGCACGAATAACTAGGGGATGAGCAAGAATTGAAGCTTCCAAAAAGTAAGTTGCGGTCTTCCTTTTTTTTCACTTACTTACTAAGAAAAAAAAAGTTCCAGCTTTTTTGAAGTACATAGTCCTTTATTTCACACAACATAGAAATTGTTGCGAAATGACCAAATTACTCGTTCAATTGATTTGCTCTTGGTGAGGAATGGCCGGAACTGTGCAGAGACTGAATCTAAGGGAAAAACACAGTGCGGCAACAAACGGATAATGAGGGTGAAACTGCCTGGCGAGGATGAAGATGATGGCAGCAACGATGATCTGAGGCGGCGGATAGCGACGAGGAGGGTCACGATTCCAGCGATGGGCAAGGATGAACAGTTGATGGCAAACGTGCGTAGACTTTTCAAGACGCAATGATGGATTCATGATGATGAAGTTGCTGCAGCAGAAATGAGCTGCAAATTCATGTTTGGCGTGCAATGATCTGATCCTTGGTGGCAAGGATGGCTGAAAGGGCTGCAACTAGCAAGGATCTGAACCGGCGACGGTGAGGACAAACTGCTTAGCGGTAGAGAGAAAGGGCAGATCAATTGAATGGATAATTGGTTCATTTCGCAACAAATTTTGATGTGCACGTAAGCCTTTCAAAAAACTATTTATTTGAAAATTTGAAATTTGACTCCATTTTTTTTGGCCTTTTACCTCCAAAATCCTATTTTTTTTTGGAATTATCCCAATTGTTAAAATACTCGACTACTCTCGTTTGTTTAACTTAACCATGGTGTTGGAAATATCTCATTTTGGTTATGCGTTGTGTGGTTAAAAATTGTACACATCTCTTAGGTCCCTTACAGTACAAAAGTATCCTTCCTAGGCCTGTCAATGGATCGGATTTGGATTGGATCGATCAAATCCATATCCGATTTATTAAGTAAACGGATTATCGGATTCGGATCTCTAATGGGTTCTTGAATTGAATGTCTCAATCCATATCCTATTTAGCTCGGACTCGGATCGAATCGGATTCGAATTCGGATTAAAATCATAGTTACTAACATATATAATTATAAAGTTAGATGAAGTGGAGAATTGCTAATATACAAAATGCTACATAATTTAACTATGCAACCAAATGAATATAATTTAACTATGCAACCAAATGAATATAATGATACCTAATATATATATATATATATATATAGATATATAGATATATATATATATATAACATTGATGAGAACACCACACTATTAGCATGTATATTAAGAGATTTATTAACATGTGGATAAGAATATCACACTATTGTATATATAACATTATGATTTTTTTTTTTTTTTTTTAATGGATTGGATCAACATAATCCATATTCGATTTGTTAAACTAACGGATTATCAGATTCGGATCGTAATCGAGTTATCAGAATTTTTGTTCAATCCA